CTCTTGAGTTTATCTTCGCTGAGCTTAGCAACCAGAAAGTAACAGCATCAGGTGCCTGACAGCCAGGGGGTGTAACAAGGTTAATTTATAAAAGTGCCAAATTTTATTTTAAATCTGCACTTTCTCTAAAATGAAAAAATAAAATGTCAGCAGACAAAAGTGTGGACTGTGCCTTTAAGTAATTTTCCCAGTGTGGGAGGTTGCAATGAACTGGCTACAGCTGCCGGACGTACAGTAATGGATATGTTAAAAATTACTTTGGGTGATGAGTTCATCGTTCTTAAAGGACCACTATAGTGCCCTGAGGGTGCCCCCACCCTCAGGGACCCCCACCCGCCCGGCTCTGGAAAGGGGAAAAGGGTAAAAACTTACCTTTTTCCAGCGCTGGGCGGGGAGCTCTCCTCCTCCATCCTCCCCGTCGGCTGAATGCGCACGCGCGGCAAGAGCTGCACGCGCATTCAGCCGGTCGCATAGGAAAGCATTCATAATGATTTTCACAGTGAGAAGCATGCAAGCGCCTCTAGCGGCTGTCAATGAGACAGCCGCTAGAGGAATTGGAGGAAGGATTAACCCATTGATAAACATAGCAGTTTATCTGAAACTGCTATGTTTATAAAAAAAATGGGTTAACCCTACAAGGACCTGGCACCCAGACCACTTCATTAAGCTGAAGTGGTCTGGGTGCCTAGAGTGGTCCTTTAAGGGCCAGCCACTGTTTGAAAACAAAGTCAGCTATTTGTCTGAAAGGAAGAGAGCAGAGCCAAACCGTGTTCCTCTTAGCTAGGGTAAACCTAAGCTTAAAGTTTTCGCAGATGACATAAAGTCCAAGTGTATTCTTTTAAAGATTCCCAGAAAAAAAGGTAGAGAAAGGTAAATACATCCATTATTTATAAGTCTGAAATAGCTCCTATCTTTCTAAGGGACTTGCATGTCAAACAGGTCAATATAAACTCAATACATGGATCAGTGTTTGTAAAGTGCACGTGTTCTAAAAGTAAAGCAATCACCATGGAAACCAATGGAATATTTCTACTAATAACTCTCAATACATTTTATATATATACAGTATATACATATATATAGCCTATAGACTTAAACATTCGGTGTTGGATAAATGGCAGTTATCGTTTTAATTTAGGTTGACTGTCAGTTTAACCAAATTCTATATCTCCGAAGTGCCATACGAACGTAAAGCAGAGAAAACGACTAGCACAATGGACGAGCATGCTTGTTTGCTTCGGGATTTAGAGTTCAGCCCAACACGGTAAAAATAAAAAAAAATAAAAAATGATTGATAGCTAAGGGATAATAACTAAATGTTTTTTTTTATTCACAGATCAAGTAAGAAGTGACCTATGGAGTAGAAAGGAGGAGACGTAAAAAAAAAAAAAAAAAATCCCTCTCTATATATAATACAATATAAATATACATTTGCCCCACCTGTTTTTTCTGTGTATTACTTACTTTTGCTAACTTGATCAGTGAACCAAATGACAAACGCCTATTTCGCATTATTATGTAAATTTTGCAGTATACTGATTGGCCCATTTTGGTTCCATTTTTTTTGTTTGTCCAAATCGTTTTCCTGAATATTTTTCATGGACGACATTCACATGAAGCGTCATATGAGCGCGTGTCCGATGTCCAGAACCAATTGAACCTTTGGGAAAATCTCCCATTTTGCTGGTCAGAGCTCTGAGAAATATTGTTTTTGTTACAGGGGTAAGGGGGAATTTTTAGCAGTGTTGTAACTGTGAAATGTGGAGCAATCGCCATGGAAACAAAATAATCTTTCTGCTGATTCCAGAGGTTTCCATAGAAATTATTTCACCTTAGGATCTCATTCTATTTCCAACAAATCTTAATGTGTCGAAGCCTCTGTATCTATCTTCTGAAGAGAATAACATTTCATCTCTCCATCAGATTTACAAGCAAATGTATAGATTGGGTGAAAAACCTATTTAAAAACAGATCTTTCTCACACATATCAGTCAATTCTTTGACTTTAACTCTATGCCAAATAATTAACTGACAAGGGGGAGCAGAAACGACCTCCACAAGTAACTTGTGTTAGCGCCCTAACTGACTCTGCTAGCGATGGCCTGGAAGTATGGGAATGGAGTCACAAATAAAGCCAGCGAGTCAGTGTTATAGAAAAGGTTTGCCCTGCTTGGCCAATAAAAGGAGTCCTCTAGTGCCCCTCTACCTCCCACCCGAGCGTGCACCGGATCTGGGTGTTAAAGAACACCATGAAGGTGAGGACATGTCGGCACTGGGTGGGAGGGGCAGGTAAGTTAATATATCAATATTCAGAGGGTTCCGTTAAATTGAATCTGTCATGACAGTTTGACGTTAACTGAGGTAAGGATTGTATTGTGTGGCACTCAACACGTTAACCTTTTTGCTACTAAATATTTTTTGTTTAAAAACATTTTAATATTACATTTATTTGAAACATGGGATGTAAGATAAATCTGCTTTTTTGTGTGTAGATTGCTGTTCAGACATACATTAAATGATGTAACTTTACACAGATTTTATTTTTCATGTATTCTTCATCTTTTCCAGAAATATTGAAGTATTGTTACAGATTATCCGTTATCTTATATGTTACAATATTTCACACGGTATCTGAATCACCATATAAGGAGTACAGTGGGACCTCGGTTTGCAAACACCTCGGTTAACATAATTTTCGGTTTACAAATGAAAATCCATTGAAAATAATGCCTCGGTTTACAATTTTTTTTTCACAATACAAAGCAAGTTTCCCCAGGATGCATTGCACCTGGGAGGTTTATAGCCCCGCCCCCTGCATGCTGGAGCCTGTGGGTAGCACGTGGCGTAGAGTGTGGAGGTGTTGGAGCGGCTTTTGCATCGAGTTCTGGAGCCATTCTGGAAATTGTTTGCAGTTGTTTTGGGACTTTTTGGTGCATTTCTCAAGCTATGGAAAGGTAGGAAGCCGAGCTTTGTTGTTTACATGCCTTTTATTGTGTGTTCTGCATTGTGGGTTGGTTTCCATGTCAGCGCAATTTGACTTTTTGTGACCTCCAGAACAGATTAATTGGTTTTCAATGCATTCCTATGGGAAACCGCGTTTTGGTTTACAAATATTTCGCAATAAGAAGCGTCCCGGAGAACACATTAAATTCGTAAACCGAGGTCCCACTGTATAATGAAATGAAAAATACAAACTGTAAAATACCTTGTTTCTAGTAAACTCTTAACTGAAACATTTGTTAAACAGATTTCTAAAGAACAGAATGTAAAACTATTATCTGTATCTGCACATACAAAGTAAATACAATAAAATAATCTATTTGTAAAATACAGGGCTTTGCAGAGTTCTATAGCAACCTGCATTTCTGTCCATATTGCCCGAGTCCTCCCTGCTAGAGTTGAGTGGACACCTGGATGTTCGGGTCCGGCAGGTTCGGCCGAACTTTGAAAAATAGTCCGGGTTCGGGCTCGAACTTGACCCCGAACTTGAACCCGAACCCCATTGAAGTCAATGGGGACCCGAACTTTTGGCCACAAAAATGCCTCTAAAATTCTCCTGGAAAGAGCTAGAGAGCTGCAAAAGCAAGTAAAATGGGGGTAAGAGTAGGACAAGTGCCCTGAAAACAACTGTGGATAGGGAAATCACTTAAAGCGGCACTGTCATGCCGAATCTCGGTTTTTTTTTAACCCCCCTCCCGCCTCCACTACATCCAATTGACCCACTAGTCACCCCCAAATGCCCCTAAGCCCCCCACATTACCTATTTTTTAATCCTTATTTTCTGCCCCGATCTATATTCAGGGCGCCGCCATCTTTGTGTGGGTAGATGAAGTCCCTGTGGGAAACGTCATCAGCCCACACTAGATAGACTGTGAGATTCCCGCACATGCCCAGTGAAACACCTGGACATGTGAACGGGAATTTCATCTATTCATTCATTCATCAGACAGACGAATGAGTGAATAGAAAGATCAGCCGAACAAACTAACACTATGTATCAGTGTTAGTTTGTTCGTTCAGTTTATTAAAAGGAGGGAGCTACCGGCACGCAGCTCCCTCCTTGTAATATGTAACGATAGAAGCGGCAGGGAGCAGTGCTCCCCACCACTTCATAAGCCCCCCCAGGTCCCCCTCTCACTCTATGGGGGTCAATATGACCCCCATAATAGCACAAGGGAGATTAAAATCTCCCAAATGCCTGTTTACTAAACAGTGAGCAGCCTGTGGCCTGTGGCCTGTGGCTGCTCACTGTTGAAAAAAAATGACATAAATTTCAATAAGGGGGGGCGGACCTATTGTCCTCCCCCCCTGGCCCCACCCCTGAGCGGTGGGTGGGGGCCCCAGTAAAACAATAAGGGGGGGGACCTACTGTCCCTCCCTGGCCCCCACCCCTGAGCGGTGGGTGGGGGCCCTAAATAAAGATATGGGGGGGAACTTCTGTCCCCCCCCCCGGCCCCCACCCCTGCGCGGTTAGTGGGGGCCCTAATAAAACAATAAGGGGGGGGACCTACTGTCCCCCCCAGCCCCCACCCCTGAGCGGTGGGTGGGGGCCCTAAATAAAGATATGGGGGAGAACTTCTGTCCCCCCCCCGACCCCCACCCCTGAGCGGTGGGTGGGGGCCCTAAATGAAACACCCCCCCCAATCAAGGTGACTAGGGGTCCCAAGCCCCTAGTCACCCCCCCCACCCAAAAAAAACCTATCCCCTACCTACCCCCCTCACCCTAAAAATAGTGAGGGGGGAATAAAATAACTAACCTGTAAAAAAAAATTAAACTTACCATTTGACGTCTTCTTTTTTCTAAAATCTTCTTTCTTCAGCCCCCAAAAAGGCCAAATAAAAATCCATTATACCCGTCGCACTTAAAAAAAAAAAAAAAACGAGCGCAAAAAAAATAAATCCATGTTCGCCCTTCGAGGGCACGCCGCGAACTGAGCTCCGCAGGGCGGATCAAGGCTTATAAAGCCTTGCCCCGCCCTGCAATTAGGCTTAGAACACTCTGATTGGTGGGTTTAAGCCAATCAGAGTGCTCTGAGTCATTTTACACAGCGTTGGAAAATTCAAAAGAACTGTTTTACTGGGGCCCCCACCCACCGCTCAGGGGTGGGGGCCAGGGGGGGAGGACAGTAGGTCCCCCCCTTATTGTTTTATTAGGGCCCCCACCCACCGCACCGGGGGGGACAGAAGACAGAAAACTTTGCATGCAGATGTCATCCATATCAACTTTTGATGCCAGTTTCTGCGCCTACCATGGTGACCACGGGTAACGGGGAATCAGAGTTCCATTTCGTACAGGGACCCTGAGAAACGGCTACCACATACAAGGAAGGCAGCAGGCGTGCAAATGACCCACTCCCGACGTGGGATGGTAGTGACGACAAATAACAATACAGGACTCTTTAGAGGCCCTGTAATTGTAATGAGTCCACTTGAAATCCTTTAACTCTGATCAATTGGAGGGAAGTCTGGTGCAGAGCCACTGACCCGTGCGTGCTGCAGCTGAAACTCCACTATCGCCTGCTGCTGCTCGCACAGTCTCATGAGGCGGTGAGCAGGAAGGCCGAAGTTACGCTGCAGCGCAGACAGACGAGCAGCAGAAGGGTGACAACGCCAAAAGCGCGCACAGCTGCTACAGTGAACGTCACATCCTGTTCCAAGTTGCGGATCAGTCTGGCTTCTGGTATCGAGTACTCTTTTTACTGAAGCTGCATCAGGGTCCTGGTATGTGGCCGCACAAATGCTGGTGCTCAACACTAGGGGTCGTGCGGTTAACCTGCACCAGATCCTGCTAATACATTCCACACTATGACTCCTAACTTCAACATCAGGCATACTGTGTCCTGGTCGTCCGAGCGCCGCCCAGACAGTGTCTGGGTCCTGGTCACCGGACTGCCCACCTCACTGTGAAACTACAAATGGATCGTTAAATCTGGTACAAACTTTGCAGTTCGGGTTCGCTCAACTCTACTATGGATCCTTTGATCGCTACATGTATTACTTGGATAACTGGTAATTCTTGAGCTAATACATGCCGACGAGCACTAGGGGACGTCCGTTGCGCTTTTGCACCCTGCTCCCTCTTATGCTGTGCTGGTGCCTCTGTGCGACCAGCGCCTCTTCCTCCAAACTGCACATGTCACTTGCATGACCTTGATTCCATGTGGGGTCTAGGACCTCATCATCCTCCACATCATCTTCCACCCACTCCTCAAACCTGCCCTCCTTGCCGGTATGCACACTGCAGAAAGCCACAGCAGTTGGCACCTGTGTTTTTCCAGCATGTAAAGTCTGCAAAGGACATATGGAAATTGTTTTAGAATTGTATCCAGGCAACAGTTTTCCCTATAAACTGACCTCTGACTTGTTAGGGTATTGCCCCAGAATTAGAATATTGTTGAAGTAACTCTTAGCTATTGATCACTGGTTTAAATATAGCAGCTTGTTATCTGGTAGTTTCTAGTGTAGAAAATACCGATCTGTTTTCTATCACTTAGATCTGTTTAACAAGTGTTGTAGGTGTGAAACAATATTACATGTGACCGATGTAGTAAATTCGAATCAAAGTTACGCTTCGATTTGACTATGTACTATGTACTATTTATTATTTAGCAGATTAACAGAAAATAAGAATGTTTACCACTGCGCAGTAAGCGCACTATTAGACGCTTCGATTTGACTCTCAGATATGAAGTGCACCGCAGGCCCCAAAATGTACTATTTAGCAGATTAGCACCCAGAAAATTAGAATGTTTACAACTGCGCAGTAAGCGCACTATTAGACGCTTCTATTTGACTCTCAGATATGAAGAGCAGGCCACAAAATGTACTATTTAGCAGATTAACACCCAGAAATTAGGAATTTTTACCACTGCGCTGTAAGCACAATATTAGACGCTTCTATTTGACTCTCAGATATGAAGTGCACCCCACTAAAATACTATTTAGCAGTTTAGCACCCAAATAATTTTAAGTTTTAAAACTGCAATGTGACAGCAGTATTTGACGATTCTATTTGACTCTCAGATATGAAGTGCACCCCACTAATGTACTATCCCACTAATGTACTATTTAGTACCAAAAAAATTTACTTTTTAAAACTCTGATGTAACCGTGGTATTTGAAGCCTCTATTTGACTCTCAGATATGATGTGCACCCCACCCCACTAATGTACTAGTTTGCAGAATTCTTTCCTAAGCTGTCCCTATCAGCAGCAGCATCCTCTCCCTACACTAATAAGACTGCATGTGCGTGCGGCGCTACGCGACTCTAGCTTATATATAGAGTCTGGGTCACATGCTGCACTGGCCAATCACAGCCATGCCATTAGTAGGTGTAACGGTACCCCGGGCATAAAAGGATTAAACTGCCGTTTAGTAGATCTTCCCTTCCAGAGACACAGGCACAGCTACTGCAGAACACCAAACTCCCGAACTGCATACAAGGGAAGGCTCCAAACTCCCGAACTGCATACAAAGTAGCACTCCAAACTCCCGAACTGGAACCTCACGAATAGCTGCTAGCAGACGAACAGGAAAAGCACCCAAGCGGCTTACACTCCTGGCAATCAGTCTCTAACAGCATACAGTAAATCCCCCCAAAGACGAGACAGAGGGTCAAGCAGTGGTCTGGTTTATTGAGGGCTACCTGCCCGGTATTTATGCAGGTCTTCCACCTGGTGGACACTCCCCTAGGGGACCAGATGGAAGACTGGGACACAAATGGTAAAATGACCAATCACAGGCATACAGGGTTTAAACACTCCCACAGTACATTACAATCCCTCCCCTCTATCCTGGAGATAATTGGGAAGTAATCCAATTATCTCCAAGGACAGAGGAAAAACTCCATTGAGCACATGTTAGTAAAAAGACACAAAAATGCACAATGTTGCAAATAATGAATAAAACATATACATTCTACCTATCCCCAGATAGCTTAGATCTGAGCACACATTATTACCGAATGGCACTCAGATCACATACATACAGTTCAATCGCCATGGAGCCAAAGTCTTTCACATAGTCTTTCATTACATGAATAGGCTCCATGGCATGGCTATCTGGGGTGATGCTGTTCATACGGTTAAACTACCGAATGAACAGGCATTCGGCTAAATGACCGAATGCAGAAGCAAGGAGGCTGACGGCTCAGCGGTGTTCGTGCAAATAAGTGTCCGTTTCCAGTTTCAATTTCATAGTGCTGAACACAGCTGGCTGTTCGGGACTTTAAAATGTCCGCCGCCACGTGTTCGGCATACGAACAAAGGCCACCCAGCATTCGTCAATTAAGCTGCTATTAACCGCAGCTTCTGGAAGGCCAGTTGATGACACACTCCAGCTCCCAGGTGGACCAGTCATTTGTGCATTTGTTCAGTACATTGAATCTACCGAACACCCTGGCAGAAAGGGTTCGCTCAACTCTACTCCCTGCCTACCAGCAGATGTTAGAATTTACAGCTTTGTTCTTTGAAGCTTCCTTTACTGTATGTCATTATCAGCCCTTTTGCAGAGAGTGAAAGGGTCAGTACGATGGTAAAAAAATGGTAAAAAAAAAAGTAATGGACTAAGTTTATTATTTTTATTTCTTTTTAATGCAATGCTTTGCAATAGAAAATGAAAATAAAAACATGTAGAAATATTTTTGGCAGTTATGGGAATAAATATAATAAATTTTTCACACCGTAGTCGACAAACTTGGGCTATTATTATACTGGTGAGTTGGCAGTGAAATGTCCTACTAGGTGGCATTTAATCTAGAACGTGTCACTGTGGCATGTTTCCTAACTCAGTAGTGCCATCTGTCTGCCATCTTGGAGATTATGGCAGGTGCTTGTTTTCCTTATTCTCTATACGTTTTCTTTGATGCAATGTATCCAATCAGCACATGCTTTCGCTAGAAGAATACATTTTATTTCTCTTCAGAATAAAAGGATGTAACATTATGATGTCATATGTAGGCGCCTCTAATTGCTGAGTATGCGGAGCCCTGCAACAGAACAGTAGAGGAACAATGCAAGGGACAGTCATAAATAGAAAGAAGATCATAAATGACTAATATTCTAAGCACTATAATAACTTTAGCTTAATGAAGCAGTGTTGATGTATAGCTCATGCCTTTGCAGTCTAACTGCTCGATTCTCTGCCATTTTGTAGTTAAATCACTTTTGTTTCTGTTTAAAAAATGGAAATGGAAAAAATGGTTAAATCTTAAATCTGTTCTTACAGCACATTGTGTTTACTTTAGATGTTCTTATCTCCTGGATTCATAACAGAGTAAGACAAGGCAGTGGAAATCATTGATCACCTGTAATCATGAGTATGATTAAAAGGGGCTGCCCTTTATAGAGAAAGCAACAAAGACCCCTTCACCAGATGTTATTAGAAGGCAGAATGCTAAATAAAAAGAGACAGTGGATAGAAAGCATTCATTAGTTTGAAAATTCAATATGCAAAAGGAAATTCACTTATGAAATAAATGGGTCTGGTCTGTAAATCCCGAGATAACAGTATAACTAATGCAGAGTAGGCAGAACTATGGACAGTTTTAGTTGCCTATCTGGGCATTAGACATCACCAGTGATGTACTGGCAGCCAGCATGCCAGCCACCATCGATTCATGAGCCATGCCAGCCACCATCGATTCATGATCCATGCAAGCCACCTTCAATTTTTAATCCATGCCAGCCATCGATTCATGATCCATGCCAGCCACCATCGATTCATGATCCATGCCAGCCAACTTCGATTCATGATCCATGCCAGCCACCATCGAGTAATGATTCATGTGATTGATGTAAAATATACCTCCTGCTTGCATTGCATCTATGGGATATGTCATAAGTGAGAAATCCCACAACTCCAATACGGGCTCGTGACTTGCTTCAGTGGGTGAAGGGGTTAAAAATCACTATTTGTCAGATATTATATTATATACACTCAGGGGCGTAACTAGAAATCACGGGGGCCCGGTGAGAAAATTGCCCTGCCCCACCTTATACGTCTAACCGCCGCTACCCCCCTATACATCTATTCTCCCCACTCCCATACGTCCCCCCATGCATCCCCCCATACATCTATCCTTTCCCTCCCATACATTCCCCCCCACACACATGCAGACAAACAAATACACATGCAGACACACACACATATACAGAGACACACACAGACACACACATACATACAGACACATACATACAGAGATACATATACAGACACACACATACATACATACAGACACACAGACATATACAAACATTCATACAGACACACACATATACAGACACACATACAGAATTCTTTAGTCACCCTCCTGTTTTCTACCTTTTAAATGCAAGAGGGTGACTTCCATGGGGTCTGGTGGGCCATTCTGAGCAGAGGCAAGGGTATCCTGGATACTTTTTACTGCATTATCTTCGTTATGCATTGAAATATATTCACAGCTGCTGTGTCCCTTTAATAATATATGTTTTAATACATTTGTTTTACTTTCTTTAACTTATAACAGTAAAACCATCATGTGCATTATTTGAAGTAGGCCCCCACTTTTTATTTATTTTTTTGCTAGGGCACAGAAATAGATTTTACCGTTTTACTTTGTGTATTGTTAACTAGCTGTGTAGTACCCAAAGAGTTAAACCAGTTTTTCAAACTTCTTAAAATTTCTGTCCCCCTGCCCTATAGCAGCAAACGCAGTTCTTTAACTTCAACAGCTGTGACTATCTGCTCAAAATAGTCCACTAAGCAGGTCGCATAAAATGCAAATTCGTTTTGATTTGCGACACAGTGTCAATTCACAGAGTGAATATATGTAAATAAAAATAAAATCTGTCATCAACCTTTTCTGCCCTTATTGCGTTTAAATAGCTGGGCTCGGCTAGTCTGCCTGGCCAGGAAGCATTTAAATATGTCCAGATGTTACAGAGGCAGGGATTTCAGTTGCACAAAATCAAGAGACTTGTATAAAAAATATGTTTTACAGATGTAGATTGCATTATAAGTGCCTTGATTTGATGTCTGTTGCTTGAGACCTATGCCCCGCCAAATAACCGTTCACACGAAGTAGAGAGGGCTTTGCGAAATCGCATATATAAATAATTTCCTGCATCCTGGCTGAATTAGTACCTGATTTTAATTAGTTATAATTAGCTTACCTTTGTGTTTGTGATTGCTGTGTTTGTCTGGAAAACATTGAATCAGGGCCTGAATGGTGGTATGTACATTCACCAAACTAACTCAGCCTCTCCGAAATGTCTACTCTGTATTTAAGTAATTCTCGAAAACCAACCAATTCTACCTCCCTCTCAACTTTCTGTCCCTGGAAGACCTTCCTTGCAGAAGAACTCCATATGAAACAAACATTTTTAAATAAGATTTTAAAGGAATATGCTTGGACCCAAAGTGACACCATAACATGCAAAAAAAGTTCACAAAAACAAGAAAAAAATATGTTCCTATCCAAAGTGTCTTCTGCTTTTGCTAATACACAGTCCGTGTCCTTCCAGACCAGAAATTGTCTTGTCCATCAGAGCCAGCCACAGTTGCACTCACCATATCTAATAAATGAAGCTGCTCAAAATGCTGATAGCCACCATACTGATACTGCAGCTGCTACAAGCCTATTCAAAGCTGTGTGCAGGCCCGGACTGGCCATCAGGCTAACCTGGCAATGAACCAAGGCCGACAGGGAAGATCAGGGGATCTTCTCTGGCAGCTAGTTTACAGCTGATGTTGCTGACCTCCGGCCCATAGTGGCAGCTCGGTGGCCAGTGGGGATATCTAAGATCTCACTCACCAGCCTGCACACTGATGCTCCTAGGGCTGCTCTGCCTTTAAATGCCTGGGCTGGATTTTTGTCCCAGTGCGGGCCTGGCTGTGTGTGTACAACTTCCTTCCAAACCATCAACTGCACACAGAAGCATTCATGCCCCGGGGGAGGTAGGGACATATGTGACATGCAATCACCAAACATGTACATGCTGTACGCACAACGCGGATGTATGTTGGTTGGTAAATTTCCTCCTCTGCTGTTCATGTAAGAAAGGCTGTCTTATAGCTGCAGCAATTTATACAAATCACTTTAACAATAAGATGTTCTGTTTAGGGACCAAATAATTCAATGCTGGATAATGTATCCAATGAGCATATGTAATTATCGTACTTAGAGTGATCTTATTACTTCTAAAAGACCACAAAAAAGTAAGATATTTCTGTAAACATCTCTCTGTGATAAAAACTGCTTTTCTTGCATTTTGTTCTGGGGTGGACAGATGACTAACCATGGATCTAAAATGCCACCACTGCTCCTGTAACTCCTTCTGTTTTACATTTTAACTAGAGTAGGTCAAACGCAGACTGGATAACTTGTAAAACTGACGTAAGAGGAAGATGTATTCTTTGGCAGGTTTTGAGATGAAACATCCAGCACAGGGCGGAAATAATGAGTAACATCTCGGGTTTTTGTAAGCTGGGAGGACATTTCATTGGTTCCTTGAAAGCTGTAGGACTGCAATAGATACTTATATGAGACACTGTTTAAATATGTATGGCTCTTTGATACTCGTATTCCATTCAGTGAAAGCTTGTGTGGGTTTAGCTACATGATGTAATCATTTTGTAAAAGCCTGGCAAAACCAGCAAGAGTTGGCCAAACCAGTTATTAGATAAACATGTCTTCAACCCCAGCAGCAGCAAGCATTCATTCTTCTACTTCTTGGCCGTTGGTCTTCGTGTCGCAGAGTCTGGAAGAGTGATTCTGTCTGTTTGTACGAAAGCCATGTGGCTCAGTCTTTCAGCTGGTGGGTACAATCCTGCTTCAGCTTGGATTCTCCTGTTGGAGTTTGTTCATGAATGCAGCCTGGTGGACGAATTCCACAATAAAGCGGAAAGTGCTAACAAGTTTTAACCCAGTACGCCATTGGGTACTACAGTGGACAAGGCAAATAGATTGTAGACTCTAATGCAGGGATAGGCAACCTTCGGCATTCCAGATGTTGTGGAATGCATCTCCTATAATGTTCTTACAGCCATAATACTGACAGAGCATCAAGGGAGATGTAGTCCACAGCATCTAAAGCAGGGTTGTCAAACATGCGGCCCCCCAGATGTTGCTGAACTACAACTCCCATGATTCCCTGGCTATCTGTTTCATTGAAAGAATCATGGGAGTTGTAGTTCAGCAACATCTGGGGGGCCGCATGTTTGACAACCCTGATCTAGAGTGACAAAGGTTGCCTACTAATTTAGTAACGTTTTCCTTGATTCATGCTGAATATATTATCAAGAAATCATAAATGTAACTGAACTAATATTAACAGAACACAATGAGCATATTGAGATTGGTTAATGTAAGTTTATTTCGTGAGAGGTCCACTTTAATGCAGAATCTGGCCACTGTTTGTAGAAAGGAAGTGTATGTGGTGTCCCATAGTGTCATTTCAAGCATTGTGGGTGGAAAATGTAAAATATTATGTTCATACAGTAGGTGGCTTTGTGGATATGTGGTGGGAAACTATCCAAGTTTCCTGTCCTTTCTGTAGACTGTGGGAATGGCAAACATTCAGACTAATGGAATTGGGTGGGATTCCGTTTCATTGTGGTGCTAGTAAAGAAATATCTTCCTCTAAAGAACACGCAGCCAGGACGTAATAACTGCTTGTGGCTGGCTTATCATTTCCTAATATGAAATGATGCGTGTCCTGAGTTGGCTATGGCCAGTCTTTCTAGTTTTTACTTAAGGGACGACCTGGAGTGAGAACTTAATGAAAGACAAACTCCTGGACTGAATAGTTCACACCCAGCGTGGAAGATTGTGTCAAAACCATGGTTATATAGGGATGAATCTGAATCAATACTAAGGGGAGTGAGACAGATCTGGAGTCCAAAGAGCCAGAGTCAAAGGTTATGGAGCCAAAAGTGTTTATTTTATCCTTCTCACAATGTGAGGGGCCCAGGACAAGACCCTCCATTCTTTATCCCATACATGACATGGTGAGGTTTAATATATCTCAACTGGGGAAGAGATAGGAATATGGGGGGAGAGGTTATTCACTAAATGTGAGGCTGTCCTGCAGCACTGAGAACAGGAAGCAACCTGAACTCTCTTATTATCTGGACCATTCAATGGACCTAAATATAATCCACCCTAAATCCAAATGCAGGAGGTAAGTGCCTTATAGTAACCCAACTCTTCCCTGTATGCTCTGGGCTGTGGGGTAGAGTTTTTCCGTAGCGGCCTCCGAACACTTGACTTATAGTAATTGCTAGGTGGTTGTAGAGTCAACCCACACTGTGTGTTGCCTCTCAAACCACCCACCTCCAAGCCTGTCAGAGAATACACATTTCTGTAGCACTTATAACCATAAGTAAAGGGTCACACTCTGTTACATAGTTACATAGTTACATAGCTGAAAAGAGACTTGCGTCCATCAAGTTCAGCCTACCTCACATTTGTTTTTTTGCTGTTGATCCAAAAGAAGGCAAAAAAAAACAGTTTGAAGAACTTCCAATTTTGCAACAAGCTAGGAAAACAATTCCTTCTTGACCCCAGAATGGCAGTCAGATTAATCCTTGGATCAAGCAGTTATTACCCTACATTGAAAGATTATATCCTTATATCCTACATGTCAGAATTTATTTACCATGACAAGATCACAATTAGAGAAACTGAGGGAGACAATTTCACTGTCAACATTTTAATTTGTATTTCTGCAAATGTCAATCTGAAGAGCATTAACCATTACTAAGGCTATCAAAATTCTTAATAATTTTGGCTCAAATCAAATTGTCTATATAACGGGACACCAAGCATGTTTGTGGGGTGTTGCTGGAGCTGTGGCCAAGGGCAGAGCTATTCTCAAACATTTTGGGTGATTTTATGATCTTCTTGTTGTCTTTTATTTGACTGAAAAAGTAATTGAAAGAAGTGTTGAGTGGACAAAAGGTTTTTGAGACTATTTGGTGTGCAATATGAAGCTGAAATACCTTTTGGTCACATACAGTAAAGGTGGCAAAAATAGTTATATAAAAATGACCAAATACTGCTTTCACAGATATTTCTATGGAGACATTTGTGGGAATGTAGCTTTCTAAACATGCCACAAGAATTTCAATAGATTGTTAATACATGCTCAAAGCACCTGCATACAAAATTATATATACCTATATTAGCTCACTACACTATATATATATATATATATATATATATATATATATGCAGTCTGGAATTAATAGTGTATTCAGAGCCCTCATTCTTTCCTTCTCCTCCTTGACTGATAGAATGAAGCCTTAAAGTTTGACTTACACGGGTTGCTGTAGAATGTGGCGGTAAGGGTGTAGGCTACAGTATCTCTTCATTATTATAGAGGGCCATACTAAATCCTGGGCAAAGAATCTTGTTCCGCAACAGGGTGTAAGCCACTTTTTAAGCAAATAAGAAAGAAATGTAATCTTTATGGGCTAAATTCCATTTTGCATTGCTTTTAATAAAAATGAACCAAAGTGCTTGTGTTGCTGGGAGGAAATGGCTTGAAAAGCAGGTATCTCCAATAAATCGAGACTATATAGGATTGACTACGGAATTACACAGCTAAGTTTATCCCACTCAAGTATTTTTCCAGCTCAACAGTTTTGTCATAACCTTTGCAGAGTTTTCCTGCTGATTTCCCCAACTTCTGTGTTTGGTGCACAACCTACAGGTTTTATTCCTGTGATACCATCTATAAAAGGTATGCACAAGGGAAATCAAACATCCTAAGATAAATTAAAGGAACACTTTAAAATTAGGAATACAAACATTCTACCAGCTTGCTGAATTCATACCCACCTCCACCAGACATAACAGATAAAGTGGTTTTTCTTACATTTATTCCCTTGTGTGCCAGTCTCGCCACGGCCACCGCTCCTCCTCTGGCTGGGGCCATCGTTACAGATAATCTTAGCTAGTCCAATCCTTTCCCATACACGAAGCATTGCGGGGCTTAGTGTGCATGCATGGTCATATTTTACAAATGCAAATCAACACTAAGGAGGTTATTCAATTAACAGAAAATTGTGACAACTTGAAAAATAATGCACGATTCTAGTAAAATAACTCGCTAGAAATAAATTCTGCAATTCAATTAACTTCAGGTTAATTAGGCCTGTGTTTTGCAATTCAGTCATTTAATCAACATGACTAAGTGTTTAATGAAACAAAATTTCCTTGGGTTTCTACACATATTTTCTGTGGTTCGAGTGCTGGTTTCACGTTGAAATATTAACGATGATTTGCAAAATGAACCACTAGCCCTGTTTAACATTACATACAGCTCAGACGCCTGGAAGGAAGCCACGGTAAAAACTATGATTAAGTATGTTAGTCCACGTCTTTCACTCGAAAAACGCAGATAAATATTTACAGCTGCGGCTGAGATAGGAGCAAAGGAGGACAGAGAGACAGATGTAAATTCTTTTTAGACTTATTGCCGTTTAATTTACTCATTATTATTTTCCAAGATGCACGGTCCAATAAAAATTCTAAGAAAAAACAAACTAAACAAGATAAAACATGCTTTTTCTAGATAAATCAGGTCTATTTATGATCAGGATTGCTCACAACAAACACTCCATTGAGGATCATTAAATTCTTCTTTTCCTAGAAATACGATTTGATTATCAGCCTCATAAAAAATAAAAACAAACCAAAACATGTATTATCTGTGTTTTAAATCAGAGATCCATTTAAGGCAACTTTTTACATGACGGAATGTTTTTTTGTTTCTTTTTACAAGATGGAATATTGGAAATGTAAATATATTGTCATTTTATTTCCTGATTACTGGATGGCTGCTTCTAATTTCTAGATTCCGATCTCTGTGTAATGCAGCTTCACTTTAAATATTAAATACTCATAGAATGAGTTTGGTTACAGCTATAAAGTAATATGTCACAGAAAAGTGAGAATGCACAATATTAATGGAGTAAAAGGTTTGGCACATCTCCCTGCCCACCCTATATGTTGGTATCTGTGAAATATGACTTATTAAATGGAGCTGTAACCTCCTGAAATGCTTTATCTATACATTGTGCAAGCAGTTTGCTCCCAAAAGTATAACATACCTTCCAACACTTCACATGGACAAAGAGGGACACTTTAATTTCAGGGGGTGTGAGTGGGGGTATGGAAAGGCATGGGGGTGTTTTGAGAAATTCTAGGTGACTAAATACTAAGAATAATTTAGGCAACTAAAATGTAATTTATTACAAGAATAATGTATCTCATTTACACCGACTGATTTCTAAAGTTTAAACATATTTATTTTAGTTTAAAGACACATTACTGGGAGTGTTATTGCTGTGGAACTCTGTTATACACTCAGATACATTACTAGGAGTATTATTGATGTGGAGCTCTGTTATACACTCAGACACATTACTGGGAGTATTATTGCTGTGGAAATCTGTTATACACTCAGACACATTACTGGGAGTATTATTGCTGTAGAGCTCCGTTATACACTCGGACACATTACTGGGAGTATTATTGCTGTGGAGCTCTGTTATACACTCAGACACATTACTGGGAGTATTATTGCTGTGGAGCTCTGTTATAACACATTACTGGGGTATTATTGATGTGGAGCTCTGTTATACACTCAGACACATTACTGGGAGTATTATTGCTGTGGAGCTCTGTTATACCCGCAGACACATTACTGGGAGTATTATTGCTGTGGAGCTCTGTTATACACTCAGGCACATTACTGGCAGTATTATTGCTGTGGAGCTCTGTTATACACCCAGACACATTATTGGGAGTATTAGTGCTGTGGAGCTCTGTTATACACTCACACACATTACTGGGAGTATTATTGCTGTGGAGCTCTTTTATACACCCAGACACATTACTGGGAGTATTATTGCTGTGGAGCGCTGCTGTACACTCAGACACATTACTAGGAGTTTTATTGCTGCGGAGCTTTGTTATACATTCAGACACATTACTAGGAGTTGTATTGCTGTGGAGTTCTGTTATACACTCAGACACATTACTGGGAGAATTATTGCTGTGGAGCTCTATTATACACTCAGACACATTACTGGGAATATTATTGCTGTGGAGCTCTGTTATACACTCAGATACATTACTGTATTATTGCTGTGGAGCTCTGTTATACACTCAGACACATTACTGGGAGTATTATTGCTGTGGAGCTCTGTTATACACTCAGACACATTACTGGGAGTATTATTGCTGTGGAGCTCTGTTATACACTCAGATACATTACTGGGAGCATTATTACTGTGGAGCTCTGTTATACACTCAGCCACATTACTGGGAGCATTATTACTGTGGAGCTCTGTTATACACGCATACACATTACTGGGAGTGTTATTGCTGTGGAGCTCTGTTATACACTCAGACACATTACTGGGAGTATTATTGCTGTGGAGCTCTGTTATACACTCAGATACATTACTGGGAGCATTATTACTGTGGAGCTCTGTTATACACGCATACACATTACTGGGAGTATTATTGCTGTGGAGCTCTGTTACACACTCAGACATACCAACAATAGCTCCTATAAAATAGGGACGTTAGGGTAAATAAGAGGGCCCTAGGTGGCTGCCTTATAGTAAAATACAATTTTTTTGTCGTTTGGATCACGGTGCTCAAAGCTCATTGAATAAATGAAATTAGAAATGTGTGTCAACAAATATGGAGGGGACGCACTACATTTAATAAAAAACTTGAAAGTTTGAATTCTATGATAATTTCTCACTATAACGCACGGTCTCTCATTCTTTCTTCCTCATGTCACTGTCACTATCCTACACTCCATATCGTGCTGAAATATGAATATCAAACAATGGCTGATGGTTTTTAATGTTTTTATACTGTATTCGCAGGTTCGTGTGTCACTGCTATTGGATACATGTAGAATTCTGCGGTTTTTCTGTGTGAACTGCCTATCATTGTCTTCATTTTCTTTGACAGATGCTGCTGGTGACACATAAATAAACATGTACCGTGTGTTTCTGGTCCCATTGGGCACTAATTCACATACATGTGGACAGTACAGGACTGGGGAAAACATTTGGCCCAGGCATTTTTTTTTAATTACAGTGACCAAGTGAGAAAAGACAGGACCAGAGGAGGTCATCATCAATGACAAGCACGTAGGTGATATAGTGTGTGTTGGAAATGTAGAGAATGTGTGTTTAGGGAATGTAGTGTGTGTGTGTTTCCGTACCGGGGATCTAGTGTAGAGGTAGGAAACCTTTGACACTCCAGATGTTTCTGAAATTGATAGAAATTTAGTTTCTATAATAGTGTGTGTTTAGTAGGGCAGTGTGTGTTGGGTGCAGTGTTTATGGTGCATTGTGTGAGGGGTGCCGTGTGTAACTGTGTTCGGAGGTGTAGAGTTGATATTGTGTGTTGGGGGCGGGGGGTGGTGGAAGCAAATATATATATATATATATATATATATATATACTATTTTATTTTTATTTTTTTTAAAAAGAAAACTTTTATATCTCTCCTCCCTTTTTACCTTTGGTCAGGGAGGTGGGACATTGCAAGCACTGGTGGTATGGTGGTGGTGAGTGACTGCAGGTCCTCCAGCTAGAGATCACTCCTCTGGCTCGCGTTTGTTGGAGCATTGCCGTGGTTTCACATCAATGTAGTGAGCTTGCAAGAGGAGCTGCTAGAGCCCCAGGTCCTCCTTCCCTCTTCTTTCCTCTCCTCTCATCTAGGTGCCAGTGGACTGGTAAGAGAAATCTTTGATCTTCTCAATGGCCTGTGAAGGCACATAGCAAGGTAGGATAGTGCCAGCCCTGCCCCGTTTGCCCTGTTTGCCTGTCGTCCAGTGTGGACCTGCATGTGGGGACATTAAATCTGGCAAGAAAACATACATGCTCATAGGTGTCAAGAGTCTCGAATTTGACAGTACAGTCCCCCATTTTAGGGTACTGTCCCAGCAGGCCCTGAGGACTTGTCCTGCATTTTTAAATTTGTCAGCAGGAGGGCAGGGCCGTCTTTAATATCGATTGGACCCTGGGCAAGCATTTGCTTGGGCCCCCTATACCTGCCCTTCCCCACTCCCCCGTGCCCCCCCATTCTCAACCCCCAGCTCCCTGGCATGCAATCAGGGCCTCCACCCCAACCTACTGATAGAACTAATGTAGAGAGGGCTGTGGTGCAAGAATTGTTTTCTCTCCAATAGCGCAAGAGTGGAGAAAAGTTAGATATCCATCTGTCGTACAACTTCCACGATGGGGATCCACCGTTTGGCCATTCTTTTAGGGTTGTATTTGTGAGCAGTGTTTGTGAATTTGAATGTAAGCATGTTTTTGTATAGAGTATATGTGTGCATATAGGGGTGTATTTGTATATACTGTTACTATTGGAATGCAGCTGTGTACTTTTGTGTAGTGTTTGTATGCAGGGGTGTGTGTTTGTATGTAGTGTTGGCTTTTAAATGAAGTTGTGCTTTTGTGTATTGAGTTGGCGTTTGTATATAATTGTAGTGTTTTATGTAACATTTGTAATTTCATGCAGGGGTGTGTGTGGATGTAGGGTTGTCTTTTAAATGCAGATGTACATTTGTGTGTAGTTTAGTGAGTGAAGGGTGTGTTTGTATACAATTTTGGAGTTTGTATTAGGGGTGTGTTTGTATGTAATGATTGTGTTTGCTGTGGTGTGTTTGATTGCCTGGATATATGCACATACATACACAGACACATATAGCCAGATACACACACTGACACACACAGCCAGATACACAGACTGACACAAACACAGACAGATACACACACAGCTAGATACACAGCCAGATATACACACAGCTAGGTACACTCACAGCCAGGTACAAACACTCACAGTCAGGTACCACACACACACACACACACACACACACACAGCCAGATACACATGCACATACAGCCAGATATACACACTGACATACACACAGCCAGATACACACATTGACATACACACAGCCAGATATACACACACAGCCAGATATACACACACACACACATAGCCAGATAAACACACACACACACACACACACACATACAGCCAGATACACATGCACATACAGCCAGATACACACACTGACATACACACAGCCAGATACACACATTGACATACACACAGCCAGGTACAAACACTCACAGTCAGGTAGATACACATGCACATACAGCCAGATACACACACTGACATACACACAGCCAGATACACACATTGACGCACACAGCCAGATAACCACACACAGTCAGATATACACACACACGCAGCCAGATAAAGCACACACATAGCCCAGATAAAGCACACACATATAGCCAGATAAACACACACACATACCGCCAGATAAACACACACACATAGCCAGATAAACACACACACATAGCCAGATAAACACACACATAGCCAGATAAAACACACATATAGCCAGATAAACACACACACACAGCCAGATAAACACACACACATATAGCCAGATAAACACACACACATATAGCCAGATAAACACACACACATATAGCCAGATAAACACACACACATATAGCCTGATAAACACACACACACATAGCCAGATAAAAACACACATATAGCCAGATAAACACACACACATAGCCAGATAAACACACACACATATAGCCAGATAAACACACACACACATAGCCAGATAAACACACACACATATAGCCAGATAAACACACACACATATAGCCAGATAAACACACACACATAGCCAGATAAACACACACACACAGCCAGATAAACAAACACATATGCCCAGATGCACTCACTCAGACCCAGGTACACACACATATATCAAGCGACACTCTGTTACTTGGGAGGAAGTGATCTCACCTCACTTCCTCCCAGCAGGCAACATCAAAGGGGCCAAGGCCGAGCACTCTTAAAGGGCTGAGGGCCTGTAAAAAACTAGATGAATGGATGTTCATGTGGAATCTTCTTAATTTCTTCTTGTCTTCAGTTGATTGATATATATACGTCTTTTGTATATATATTCTTGGGCCAAATGCTCGCCACAATAATATATGTCTATATTATTGAAAAGTAGTAATACGCAATCTGACTTACGGTTTCTTCTGGTTTATTCTTTGTTACGGATACATAATAAAACATAATAAATGATGTTACAGGATAATGGACATTCAACAGCAGATGGTAATTGCTGGACTTCTGATGGGAGAGTTACATCGTTGTACAGAGCCAAGCCAAGACAAGACTAGACTGAGAGACCTCGTGTCCCTCTGTTACTATATAGAAGTGCTAATACTAACGTCAGCATATAACTCTAGCCATATAAGGAAAAGACCCCCGAATCCACATTCCAGAGCTCTCGGACAAAGAAAGCCTTGTGACTTATTGATACCATCTGTTACTTATGTCAATCCACACATCCATATATATAATCAATAGAAACATAGAATATGCAATATTCTACATTCCCTCTGTTTATGGTTTGTTTTAAAACCATAACACAATGTATATAACCTGTCCATTCATACATCACTTGTATCACATTCATTGAGCATAGAACAAGATGTAGTCACAATTTTCTATTATATGAGAGTTCTTAGAAGGTCGAGTTTCTATCCCTCATACTGCTTACTTTACTTCAAACTCCCTCTGTTTCAGCTATGTATTGATATCCATATCCATGTTACATCATAACTACTTGAACATAATATATACATATATACAATAATAAATGAATAAAATAAAATATTTACAAATGTTGATCCAATAAACAATAAAGCAATCAGAAAGATCTACCTGCTCAGGTACAATCATGTCTTTGTAGACAACAAAATCAAGATCGTAACTTTCTAAATAATAATAACTGTGTTTCACTATCATATTCCTACAGACACATATAGCATAGTATTTTCATTCTCAATACCTGATATTACTTAAGTACTAATACATGTATTACTATAATATCCTGTCCAATTAGATTTCCATGAATCATATGGTTTCTAGCAACCTTAAAATCTTTAGGTCATTTGTATTCATGAATTACATTCCTATACCATTAATACCACCTAGTGATGATTGTATCAGTACTTTACAATCATAGTATTTAATTTGAAATATATCAACACTACTTATAAGTCTCATTCAAAGGATGTGTTATCAACCATGACGTTCTATAATAATTCTTCAAATAATGTTCATGGTGTTGACAATACTTATTGTCCTAGAAATTATCCACCCAGAAATCTTTCTATCATAGATTTGTTTTTGTTTACATAATTCTAATTTTCACTAAAATTCCACCTTGTAGTAACAAACTTTAAATTCAATAGAAACATAGTTTACTTTAAAAGAACTTGGAAAGAACAATTTAAATTCATTAGCATCACTCTCTTCATTAGCATTGTGATGACTTATTAATGTAATACACCTTAAAAGCAGGCTTGTCCTAATGTTCTGACCAATCCATATTCCTTAGTACACTTCAACTGACTAAAATAAAATAAACAAAACTTGGGGTCATACTGCCCAGAAACTCTTATTCCTAGTCTGTGTCTTACAAACTCAGGGAAATCTTAACAACGTATTCAATTCATTGGATACCGTCATATCCAGAAACCTATTCTCCCTAGTCCATACCTTTATAGACTTAGGTCAAATATAATTGTGTACTATACTCTTTCCATTCAATTCGGTTCCTCTTGGATCTCTGAACTCTTATATCCAAGGCCTTCTTAATGTATACTATTACTTAATATTAATCAATATAAATTATCCTTCCCTAGTTTTCTTCCTTATGTTACCATTGTTTGTTTTACTTCACCTTGATATAAACAAATTAATTATTATAATTTATCTATGAGATACTATTGAACTCAATCTTTGTGGTATTAAGTAACCATGATCCTTATTTTATCGACTTCATATTTTATCTACCTCTGATACTTCTCATTCTATGTATAGGTAATAATGTAATAGTTCTCTTCATAATACCATCCATTAATAATTTTACTCCATGTGTTATATAGTTATAAGTAGTCTCTCTTGGTATTAATACTCATAACTGTTAAATAACTTTTCATTGTCTGTTTTCTTCATTAATATTTAGGAATATATATGTATGTTAGTGTCAATCTTTTATTTCTTTGTAAGTCTGTTAATCTTCTGTATCGAATGAACTCTGTAGAATCTTCCATCACAGTTTGCAGATCAGATGAAAAGTCTCTTTCCAACAGTCGATGTCCAGTTATCTGAAGGAATTCTTTCCTGATTTATTGCCACAAGGATCTGTCACGCTTTACCAGATCAGTTATT